CCATTATAAGCTAAGTGCCCACTAAACCATATAATTAATTATGCCTTAAAATACTCTCTTTTCCTTTTTTATTTTTCTTTTAATTAAAAAAATGGGGAAAATGCAAACTCCCCATCGAACTCGATTCACCATGCATGATGGTTGATGTACGGCTGTCGGAACTGCCCACGTGACATTCGCTACATGGACCAATAAGATTTCACCACGTAGCACCAAATATATATCCATTCGTTTTCACTAAGATTGCAAAAGAAGTGTGTCTGTGTGAATAATTTGATTTCTAGAAGGAAGTGGGTCTGCGCCACGTGTCCGTTAGGTACAGGTTTTAATAACAAGAAAAAAAGTTTAAATACTTGTACTTACTCACTACTTTAGCTTTTGTTTATTTCATTTTTTATGTAATTTTAAAGTGATATTATACGATAAATTGTTTTTAATATTGTCATAGCTTTGTTATAAAACATTCGTTGTTTATAAGATTTATGCTAAAAAATTTTAAATTAGAACTAAAATTACCCTTTTTCAAAAGTACATAAAAATATATGGACTAAATTGAACAAAATAATATTTAAATAAAATACACATTCGCTCTAATTTGTCTGCTCGAATGTCACGGCGACGAATTAGTCTTCTATTGCAGTAAGGTATTACTTGATGATTCCATAACGAATAGATAACTTTCGTAGGATTCAAACGAATCAATTTGTTTGTAATGAAAATTAGGAAAGAGCCCAAATGACTCAAATTCCGATTAATAAGTTTCAACCAGAATAAATCTTCGGGACGATTCAGCAAAGCTCATCTTAATCTCAATCCAGACTTTGAAGAACAAAAACCTATATATTTCTTATTTCACTGCCTTCTAGTAATCCCTGAATGGATATTCAAATTTTGTCTAGTACCTAATAACATGTATGAATTCTCTCTTATAAATCTAAGATTTATATCCCATTTTGGCCGTTAATGTTGGTTCTATTTTGATCTTTGAACTTTTAAAATACTTATTTTAACTTTAAAAAATGTAACCTTTGATACTTACTTTTATAAACATTTAATATATTGATAACTTAGTTTCAAGTATTTGACGTGTTGATATAATTTAGTGTCCAACACATTGGCCGATAAAAATATGTTAGGCAACCAAATAATACAAAAACAACCAACATTATTATTTAAAAAAATTCAAGAACTAAAATAGACACACAAGAATCAAAATGGATACCTTTTTATGGTCAGACTAAAATAAACATTTCGAAAATACCGAGACCAACTGAACCTAAGAGTTTAACGACTAAAGTGGAATTTAAAGCTAAATCAAACAACCTAAAATCGCTAACTATATATATTGTTTTAGCTCCTCAAATAATTGAACATAAATAAAAAATAATTTTTGTTTATCAAATTTAATAGTAGTAAAAAAAAAGGAATACCGATGCACCGAAGTATTTTTATTTTTTTATTTTTTGAATAATGGTAAGGGAGTCAAAAGGGCAACCTAATTTAATGGGTTTTGTTCTGAATTAGGTTCTTGTCTGGTGGCTAAGTCAGAAAAGGGAGACCATTGGAATAAGAGAGAGACCCTCTTTGGAAGGTGCAAGGCTGTCTAGAAATGGAGAGTTGTCGTTGGTTTAATTATTAATTTCTTGATTGAATGGGCAAACTTTTTATTCAAAGCTAGATACACACATTCCAACTTTGGTAAAATTATAATATATAATATATATAAATTAATTTTTTATTTTGCAATTTGGGATAAGGGGCAGGAAAAATTTCTTGAAATGGCCCATACTAATCATGAAACCCACATCCTTCCAAATAGGATTTCCTAGCTAGTGAGCATGTGCTGTTCAAAGAATCCAACAAAAGAAAAATAATAATTCAATTTATTATAATCTAATCTAGTAGCTTAGGTAATAATTATTTTATTATTTATTTTGAAAATTAAGTTTGTAAATACTATTTTCACCCCGACATTTTTTTTATCTTACTATCTATTTTTAGAAAAGGTTTTCAAAATCTAAAAAAAAAAATAACCATTTGTTAATTTGTTTAAAAAAGGTGAAAACATATCAATGAAATTGTGAGTAATTAAGTAAAATTTTTCAAAAACTAAATAGTTATCAAACGGGTCTTAAATTTTTTATATGAGTTCGGATTCCATCAAATCAAAATCTATATTGAAAATAAAAAAAAATGAATATTATATATAGTATCACAAAAAAAAGGTTTTATTTTTCTTCAACATAAGTGAGTTGGAGAGCTAGTTTAAACACTTGACAAAAACTCTTTACAATATGAACTAATTCTTTATTAGTTCAAATTATTCAAATATAGTGTTCTAGAATGGTAATAAGAGGAAAATACAAAAATGAAATTGAAATTTCAAATAAGCCTTAACAAGATTCATTGCACTTGAGAATTTGTTCATTAAAAAATTATTAGAAAATTAATATATCCATAAAGATTAGACCAAGACCCTAAAATTTATCCTCTTAATTAATTGATATTTTTCTTGTCGAATATGTCATTAAAATACTATATTGGGTAAGAATTAGGTATGCATTTGAAAAAGCATCCAATGGTCTCTGTTTGGGGAGGGGAATACCCTGGACACGTGGAGGACCCCCATTGATGCTCCAAGATGGCTCATGAGTCATGCCCAGCTCGGATAGCCGAGATGGCCGCCACCAACGCCGACAAATGCTAAGTATGAGGGCCGAGGTGAACCTGGCCCAGGTCCGACCTACCGGGGAGCTTGGTAGGGGCCGATGTGAGTGGCTGTCTACGGCGTGATTATCGGACGTAACCGTCGGTCCCGGGATTACCTGGTGTAACCGTCGGTCCCGAGATTACTGAACGTAACCGTCGCGAGATTAGCGGGACTACCACCCATAAGTAGAGGACTTCACTCCACAATCAGGTACGATGATTTCTGGCTCCGAACTAAACTTGGAATCCGACCTATACTGACTTGATCGTCAGAGTGCTCACCTTTTTGTGCAGGTCCGCCCAAGTGTTCCGGTCGGTCCGGAGGCCGAGTTCGAGCTACAATCAGGAACACACTGTTGTGCACATCTCTGCATAAACATTTGGCGCCGCCTGTGGGGACGACTGACAATCTAAGTCATCCCAATTCCTTTAAACCAACACGCGAGCGAACATGGTTCAACCAGCGAATTCGACTAATACGACAGATCGAAG